TATATATATATACATTGCATTTTCTATGTCAGACGAATTATATTATGGTCATACCGTCACTATTGTTCATTTTCTGATTTAATGTCTATTTACATAAGAGTCGACGACTGTGACGACCGTTCTTCTTCTCTTGCGACATAAAAACATCGATCGCTATTGTGATGCACTATATGGACAGTTATTTTTGCTTTTTGTTTCATTGAGAGGAGTAAGTGGGAGAAGCATTGAGTCCTGCTTATCGCGCATGCCGTGACCTTTGATCTCGTGTCCCATCACTCTCTTTTGTATACTTATATTCCAAACTTAATTCAATAAATTGCTCATTTAACGAAAAATTCATATGACTTTTTATTAAATTACACCAGTGCAACGAATTTTTTGTAGCATTCAAATTTATTTTATCTTATCTTTGAAATTTTTATTATTATCGATTATTGGCATATTGTACGGTATACTTTTGTTGCTTTCATTTTCTTATGGTACATTTTAATAATAATCATATAAATGTTGTCATCAAAGATTCCCTTGGAAAAATTTGAATGACATAGTAATATCCGGCTGAGTCAGTTAACATCATGTGAATAAAAATCGAAACAAACCGACTTCTTCAGGAGTGTGGGTGAGGTGTTGGACAATAGAAGATCGACACTCACACCCGCACTTTGACATTGACAGAGTTTCAAATTTTTTATTTACTGCTTTATCTCGAATGTATGAACCTTAGTATTTTGAACTGTAAAATACAACATCCAAAGTTCTTTTTAAGTACAATTTCGTCAACAATAAAGAGTAGAAGTAATAGAAGATTAGTATCAACGAGCAAGAAACGACATCTTGAACTACAATTACAATACAACAACAAGAAAGTTCTTGTTTCGGTACAGAAACCATAATGAGTTGATCGTCCAACTTTTCTTCTCCGATAATCAAGTTACTGATCTGAAAGAAAAAAAGAAGCATGAGTGAAATGAACTTTTGTTAAAACATATTCTACATCAAGATGATTCTTACATCATCTTGTTGTAGAGGATTTCAGTATGTTTCTAATTCTGTTGATGTAAGTTTTTATAAGTTTCTTCTATTCAGTCATAATGGCTAGACAGTAATAAATGAGCTACGAGACACTCAAACGCTTATTTATTGAATCGTGTAACAATGTCTTGAATAGAGACTTTTCACATTAGATTTCAAGATTCTTTTTTTATCGGTCACTTCTGATCGATCGACAAGCGGAAAAGTTATTAGTCAGATGGTGTTCGTGCTTTCAATATTTGTCAATATTGCTTTACCTGTTTCTGCTAAATTTGTTGTAATTAGAACTAAATATTCTATCAGACGACCTGAAAAACTGTCAACTCCGAATATGAATCTCACATAAAACTGATACATAGATTAATATGCTCATTAGTACTATGATCGATCAAAAATTTGATCTCAAAGTCGTCTTTGATCTTGCTACTATCGCTCTAATGAATCTATGTGCCAAGTCTAATCTTTCATATGCATAATAACTTCTATCAAAGGCATTCCTTTCAAGAAAAAAAAATTCAAGTGAGAAATCAATACAAATGCCTTTTTGTCGAGTTACTCGATTCGCTTACTGGCATGAAAATATCAAAATGCTGAAATGGATTGGAGATAAGTCTTTCTAATAAAAAAAAACAAACTTAACAATGAAAATTTCTTCTTTTAACCAACCTGTATACATAACAAGATATATAACGCATTTATATCATTCTCCAGTAATGCTTGACAGCCTTGCGAAATTCTTCTTTGTACAATTTTGATGGTAAAATGAAGATTAAAAATGTGAACATCGGTGGAATGAATGAAACAAAATATCCGACTAGGAATAACCATGAATCATGAGCTGATTTCATACAACCAGAAACAAAAGAAAGAACTACACGTGGAAAAGCAAGAATGACTAAGACAAATGGAGCTATAATAAGATGATTGTGTTGTTGAAATTGTTGACGCAACAACTGTTGATAAGTATAATGAGGTTGAACGATGGCTCTTTGTCTAGCATTTGCTCTCAAAATGATAAGAGCCGAGATTAGATTAATGAAAAATGGGATAAAAAAGTGAAAGAGATGAGTAATCGAATTGAAGAGTTGAAAACTTGACGAAAAAGTTACACTACACCAAATTCGTTTCTCATCACCATCCTCATCGTCAAAAAGATGTCGATGAATGGGATCATGAATAGCTGTGCTAATTGTCAGAATAAGAAAAGCAACAATCACGTATTTAGCTACTTTCTTGCTCTTCTTCTTGTCAAATTTGACTTTTTTTAAAACAGTTGTTGCCCGCTCGGCAGCCACACATGCATTTAACCATTGATCCATACTAAGACAAATGCGTAGAAGAAAGTCGATCAATAGACATTGTACATATAAGAAGAATCGATTGATTGTCAGGGCCATTTGTGAGCTAACAAGTATCCAAAATTTAATACCAAACAGAATCATTGTCAATAGAGTTGTGATCGATGATCCTATCAGATACAAACCACAACCGGCTTCACGTAATTTCTTACTCCGAAAAGTTATTAAAGTGAGAACACCATTGATTAGTCCAGTTATAACCGTGATAACAGTCAAAGCGGCGCTAATTTGTACAGGATATGGCTGATGTAGGATGCTGTGATGTGGTAATATGTGATAACCCAAAATGGCATCAAGTGAAAGACCAAAACCACTAGTACTAAATTGACATCGTACTCCATAGAAACAAGCCGGACATACACAAATCGATGTTTGTGCACAAGTTGAACTATCTTGAAAGCATTGAGCTCCATTTTCACAGCCACTTCGACCAAGACAATCACTTTTCATATGATGATCAAATTCGAAACAATTAGCCACACGATGTGAACCATGATTATTGCATAGACAAAGATGAATATCATCATAAAAACATGATAACTTTGGTGAATGTCGTTGACATGGAATATGATAATATTTGATGCGACGAAGAAGATGTAATTTAATGATCGTTTCATTAAATAGCTCATTTATGTGTTCACAACGATCTGATGAATTGATTTTCCTAATTATTGTTGTTGACGGATAGAATGTTCTTTGAATAACAACTAAATAGTAATTTTTGTTGAAAAGTTCAACGAAGACAAGATGAAATGGACGTGACCAATAAATAATAATTGAATTTTGATGAATAGGAATTGTTTTGAAAGTAGTCGCACGTTCAGGTGAAGCATTATCAATCACTTGAATGAAATGTACAAGCATTGCTTGTGATATAGGAATATCTTTGTCAAATGAAACGATGATTTTACTATCGGCTATTTCACATCTGTCTCCAGAAAAACCTTTCGAGCAAATACACGTAAATTTTCTTTCAGATACAATATGTTCATCATTTGGAATGCATTGTCCACCGTTGAGACATCTCGTATTTTGATCGAGTTCACACAATGTATTTTCAAGCAAACATCGAGGACCGAATCGATTAATCGGACAAATACACAAAGATCGATTATTAGCTAAGATACCAATACACAGAGAATCAAATGAACATATACAAGTATGTGGAATCGTACAGTATCGCCCAGACCATTCTTGATTGCATTGACAAAAAGTCGAGCCATCCTGATTATGAGAATATCTAACACAATGTCCATGAACGCACTGTTGGTCTGAACAATTTTGAATGCTGTCAAGACTGCGCGGAATATCCAGTTGAACGGCAAGACGATGTACAGACAAAAACGGAAATTTCAATGGTAATAGCCAACTTCCACGATAAGCTAATGAGAACTTTTCATAGATATCGATATGTACTGAATAATTTCTTGAGTGATTTTTTGGTCTTGTTGAATAGAGTAGATAGGCATTGAATTTGATTTGACAATCTCGCATTGGTAGATAAGTGAATTGTTCATGAGAATGTATAGTTCGTTCATTGCTATCGTCGATAAGCATGACAACAAGAACAAATGGTGTTCGCCACGCATCAGACAAAGCTCGATATTGCATGGTGAGACTTATGCGTTGATTTTGATATTGACACATGTCACCATAGAAACTTGGCGGACAAAGACATGTTGTTGTTGTCAAATTATTGTCTTTGTCTAACCAGACTCGCAAATCAAAACCACGATGACAACGTTGCTTAGTTTGACGATTAAATGAATATCGAAGAATCCTTTTTACATTTGATTTTGTTGTGTTAATAGTCGAGTTTCGATCACTATCGAGTGAAAAATGCACAATCTACTGTTTAGTTGTATCTTTTAGTCGTCCACAGAGAAACTTTTCGATGTTAGATTTTATCCTGACAAAACTATCGGAACAAACACTTCCATACCTTGTGAAGTTTTCATTCTTGTCACACGATTGTTCATCATCTCCATGTTCATAATTGTTATAATGATTACAAAGATCTTCAGAAAAAATGCATCTTGTACGACTGTCATTCTTGCAGTAAAAATTAGAATTAGTAGCTAGATAATGGTTTTTTCGGCACAGGTTGGGTTCGTCAGTGGCACCAAGACAATCAATTTTACCATCATTGGCTTTTTCGATTGGTAAACATGCAAGTCGTCCGGTTTCAGATGATACACAAATGTGATGATGAAGAGGACAATCTAATAATGGTAATGAATCACAATCGATTTCATCGGCTTCATTGAGACAATTCCAGTAACCATCACAACGTGTGTATGTATTATTACATTGCCATTGTTCACAGTCTGTTTCATCTGTTTCGTTTCGTCCATCAATAGTCACCGGTATCAATTCAGTAAAACCATCACATATTGTCTGAAATGAAATATGATTTCGAGCATAATGAACATAGGAAAATTCATCATCACATAGTCCATTTTCATATATATCACAATGACATATGCCATCGTTGATAAGTCGATAAGAAATACACTGATTTGTTTTTGCACATTTGAAATGTTTATTGAATCGTTTTAATAAACAAGTATTATTGGCCATATTCAATTGTTCATCATCATGATAAAAGCAATCTATAATGCCATCATTTAGACGATTTTGAGAAATACATTTAGATGAATTCATACATTGATACATGGTTGATCTATCACAGAGTGCTGAACTATTATTTACCATTTCATAGCATGTATGAAGCAGTTTGAATAAAGATGTGACATATAGATGAGTCCATGTACCTCTGTCTTGAAAAAAGTGTAATCCTAAATCTTCAGGACGATAACACGTAGTATTGTTAAACATAATGTGTTGATATTTCACGAAATATTGACTGCAGAGTTGACCATTAAAACAGATGTAGTGAGGTATATCTGCTGACAAAATGGAGAACTGTACATTGTTGTTTGTGTATGCAAAATAGACTTGACTAAACAAAATCGGAATGGATGGTAAGAAAAGCATATGTGGACATATATTTCCAATTATATCACTACATGATTGATTTTCACATAACGAAAAACACGTGTCATCTATCCATATATCTTGAATATGAAGAACACACTTGAAGGCTAACCAGCAGAAATGAGATATTGAATCTGGTTTGTTCAGAAACATCGTCTGTAACAGTAACTCGCTGCGTTGTTCCATACATGAGCTTGTCAAAGGACTCTTGAAATATTGAGGATTAATCGTACATACAATATCTTCGCAAGCAAATGTTGGTTCACTTTTATCACAGTTGCCACGTTTATCATAATACATCGGAACTTCGTCAGATCCATCAAGACAATCAGGAACAAGAGAATCATCATGAAAGAATACATAGGGTATACATTGCCCATTGCTACATCGATATTCATCATTTCCACACTCATTGATTTCAAGTTGCCAACAGTATTCTTCATCACGTCCTCCATCAATACAATCAATTTTTCCATCACAGATTTCACTCCAGTCGAGACAGGACGGAACCGGGCCACGGTTACATTGTAAATGGACGTAACATGTAAATATAGTCGATTTATATGTATGCGAATACAATTGATAAATGATTTCATTCAATGATGATTGATGAGGATCATAATCATCGATTGAATATTGACACATGGGACCAAATTGTGGCAATGTGCAGTTGTAGAAGAGCTGTGCATTCAGTGATGTCGTATTCGAAACTGAAAGTTGATTTAAATAGTATTGGTATATCTCAATAAGATCTATTGGTGCTGACCAGATATATAACTGTTGACCAGTAATCTGCAGTTGGTTAAGTTCGGCAAAGGTAAAAATTTGATCAAGATTATTCTTGTGTATGTTCCATCTTGATGGCCATTCACCCATACAATATGAAAGGATTTGACGAGTATTTTTCTCATTGTTAATAGAAGTGGTAACGTACAGACAATTGTATTGTAGTGTAACATCATTCATGTTGTCAATGGTCCAATCTGTCAGATAAAGATTAATTTGAGAGGAACAAAATAGTGAGGGTACCAAGAGTATGGAATAAAGTAGACGACTCAGAAGTAACATCATCGATCTTTCTCTCTAACTGTTAAAAATAGATGCAAGACAGAATATATCAACGGTTCTTATTTATCATGTCGACGCAAGTCGCACACACTTTTTTCCAAAAGATATTAAGTCAGTCTATTTGTTCGTTATCAAAATGGATGACAAATGTTGAACTAACTCATTTGTTCCTGTATCCTGTGTAAAACATTTTTAACTGTTGAAAGTAATTACGTTAGTTCATAGCTCACATTTGGCAGCAACCACGTTCTGAATTTATTATTATCAGAGAAGGATAAATGCATGACATGCGCATTTCTGTCCTGACATTCTTTTGTTACAATGATCCAGTTTGACGTATGATTATTTGGAACAGTGAATGCAAAAGCAGCAGCATAGGCGGATATCTACAATTTTAGTTTGTTCTTTATCAACATCTGAGTTAGATGCATGTGCATAGAGATATGCCACAGTTATTCTAAAACTAATAAAAATATAGGATGTCCAGAAAGTCATGAAACACACACTAAAAGTTGAATATCTCCACTGCGCTCTAACCATATGAGCTAATTTTCTTTCTTAATACAGAGAACACTTGCAGGTTCTTATTCATATATAAATAGCTTATTCTTTGTTATATCCTCCCCTTCAGTCTTTTTCATTTCTGTCAATACTAAGAAAAATACAGAAGCATTTTCTAAATAAAAAAAAACATCGTTCTTCAGAAAACCATCTGCTACAATTTTTGAGCTTTAGGACAGAATCGAATAAGTTACTAGCGACATGAGTGTGGGTGTTGATGTGGATGTGAGTGTGGAATGTGTAGTGTGCGTGTACGGTGTGGGTCTGGGTGTGGGTATACGAATAGGGTGACGAGATTACTCGCTACACGTACACCCACACTGATACCCATATTCCACGTTCAGATCCAGGCTCAGACCCACGCTCACACCCACACCCACATCCACTTATAGTTTTTTCATACGCTACTTTCTGTTTCAGAGTTACATATTGGCAAAAAGCAGCGATGTTTCTTTTTGCAACTGTCGCATGAAAAGTGCACTCTAAAAAAAATCGGTTTATTACAGAACTTGTGCCAACGGAAAGTATCTTTAAGGTTTCGTACTAACCCAACAAACTTAAGAAGAGTTTCGCAAACTTGTCCGAATCTCTTTTAGGTTCGGTAAATTTGTACGAAACGTCAACGATTCTTCCCACGGGTACAGGTTCTGTAATAAACCGATTTTTTTAGAGTGTAACATATGAAAAAACTACAGATTTGTTTGGTGCGATCTGAAAGAATATTGAAGTTGTGGAGAATTTTTTGATCTATAAACTCGCGTTAACCCTTTCCAGCCGGATGTTTCCATATGGAAACATTTTCCCCTATAGGGGTACGGCATTTTTCAAATAGCCGGCCGGAAAGGGTTAATAGCAAAAGTTTTTATGTCCTCTATACATAGTAAAAGGCCAAGTAATCATGCAGTGTGGATGTGATTTATGAAATTTAGAACAAAAATTCATCTTGTTAATTAGGATTTCGGAGTTATATGGCGTGAATAAATATATCACTGGACTCAGTTTTCAATGCTTTTCTGAATGGTCTATTAGAAGTTGAAACTTTGTTTTGCTCAAGTTTTGAAAAGCCTGCTAGAAAATCCAATTGTCTAAAAGCCACTGGTCTTTCATAGTTTTCGATCTATTTTCAAGGTCAAATTCTAATCGAAAAGAGCTGATGATTACGGGAAGAAGTTTCTCTTCGAATGGTATACGATGGAAGCATTTTTTTTATCATTGAAGAGGATTTGGGGATGCGTGTGTGGATAATGAGAACATCCACATCCCGCCCCACACCCACACCTACCCAACCTCAAACAGAATATATTTCATTGACTAGCAGTATTGTACAGAAAATTACACTTGCTAAACTAAAACCAATAGAATCAAATTTGCTTGAACTTCCAATAGAAACATCTGGTTATCTAAGCTCCCAAACGGTAAAGATCTGATTGGATGAGACTGAGATCTTGAAATCATCGGATTAGACGAGAGTTGGATAACAAAAAACACCTGATTGGTTGAAAATACTACACGGAGTATTTACCTAAAATAGTTACTCAAAACTTGAGGACAATTTGTTAACACGTGACCATACACGTGTAAGCAAAATACGCATATACGCGCGCGCAAACTTATTTTATTTCACATGATTCTTGATTCAGTCGAAAGAATAAAGTTGTTCCATTATATTTTTTCTCTTCTTTTTCTATTCCATCCTTCTTCACCTTTTCTCCTCAAGCTCTATTTTAAGCACTCTCGACTCTTACACAATCAAGTAATGCGAAATCCAAACACAAACTTAATGCGTAGTTCTACTTAAATGGTTATGGCCTTATACTATATGATTTGTCATGAAATCATGACAAGCTGATGAATCGTACATTTCTTTTCATCGTTTAATTGGTTTTGACATGTGAAAGTCTTAGAAGAAATCATGTTTGATTTTGCAATATGGAATGATAAATCTGCATGAAAGACTGGTATAATATGAATGTTATTTTTGATCGACTGCTGCTTTAGAAAAAAGCCCAAAATAAGTGTATTGCGTATGACTATATGCGCAATTCATATTTTCTCTCTTCCTATTTCTGTACGTATATATTCATATATAAATAAATGAAGCGATATTCAAACGATTAAATAACCCTAATAATATCTCAGCGGCACTTTTAATACTCACATCTTGTCGCGTATTGATACTGCTTATTTTACTGTAAGTTTTTTCTTTTGTAGTAGCTTGAATAAAATAGAGATATTCCTAATGAATTTGTGCATAAGATTTTGAACTGAGAATGATATTTAATGATCGAAAGATACCAACATGAACACGACATGTACGACGCACTTGAACATAGCCAAGCTTTGTTTGAATCAACTGAAGATGATGATTTCACTCCCCTTTCGAAGTTCATGTAATGTATTCAAAGGTGTAAAAGAGTATCGATAAAGTTTTTTTTGCTGACTATACTGTTCTTACTTTCTTTGATTATCGATGAGCAAACAGAGATGAAACGATATACTTCAGTCGAAAATTGAACCCATGACCGAATACTGATTTTCTGAACTAGTGCTTTAACCGTCGAATCATGAAAGTATGCTAAACATATACTGGAATAGGCAGAACAAATGGTGCTATAGTGCAACTCAACGTTTGACCAGTCTTCTCAAATTCGAAGACTTCGTTTAATTCTTGAAAGATGTCGAATTTTCTCTAGTTTTAAATTCTATGATTAGATTAAGATCAGTTTGCACCGTCGTTATACTAAACTTAAATTACTACAATCCTAAAAATCTTATCTAGTCATCACTACATTGGAAAAGAAAAGTTTCTTAAAATAAGATACCAGCTCACTAGGCTTAAATGTGTTTTTACTATGTTCTGAGTTTCAAAGCAGTACAAATTGAGCATTGAATAGATCAAAATTCAAGCAGATAAAGCGAAAAATGCTGTCTCTTTGAAACTCTGAACTCATTTTTTTTT